CTATGAACTGGAATTGAGAGGGATCAACAAAAGGCCTTTGAATATTATTTAAAAAGTGCCGAATGTGGAGATTGTTGTGGAATGCATCAAGTGGGTTTATATTATCAAAAAGGGATTGGTGTAGATAAGAATAAAGATTTGGCTTTTGAATGGTATTTAAAATCCACTGTTACTGAACATGAATATGATCATCATCCAAACTACTTTCGTTGGATAAAATACGATAATTTTAAAAGTATTGAAGAAGTAGGTAGAGGTGGATTTTCTGTAGTGTATAAAACATCATATGGCATATTTGAAGAAGTTGCAATTAAGATAATAAAAGACTCGCACAAAAATGAAAAACTTTTTTTAAACGAGGTACTTTTTTTTGCGCGTAAATTTATTTTATGAATTTAATTGTAAATAATTTATTTATTTATTTAGCTGAAGGCGTATCAAGAATTTGGTAAATATTATGGCATTTCAAGGGATAAAAATACTGGTGATTTTATTTTAGTGTTAAATTACGCAAAATTTGGATCATTACGTGAAAATCTTAAAGACATTTAAATTGGAGTGGAAAATTAAACTAAGAATATTATACGATATCATCCGTGATTTATCCAACATTCATTATAAAAGATTCATACATCGAGATTTACATTCCGGTAATATTTTAATAAAAGAACGATATGAAGCTTATATTACTGATTTAGGTTTATCAATATCGTTTGATGAAAAACAAGATGGTCATATTTATGGTGTTTTACCATATATAGCACCAGAAGTATTGGAAGGAAAACAGTTCACACAAGCTGCTGATATTTACAGTTTTGGAATTATTATGATAGAAATATCAACTGGACGAAGGCCTTTCGATTGTTACAATTTTGATACTGAATTAGCAATAAAGATTTGTCATGGATTGCGACGTGGATTTAATATAGAAACACCAAAATGTTATGTTGAATTAGCTAAGCAATGTATTGACTCAGATATAGAAAAAAGACCTACGGCTGTTGAGATTTTAATTAAACTTAAAAAATGGCGAAAAATTATAGTTAGTAAAGATAGTAACGATTATCATTTTAATTCTAATTATTGTATGGAAGTAGATACCTTTGACAAAGAGAAGATAAAACAGCAATTTTTAGAAGCTGATAAATTAGTCAATGAATTACAAATTATTCCGCAAAAACATGAAGATATTATGTATACTTCTAAACCTATTGATATGAGGGGAATCGTTTCGAAGTTTGAAAATTCTAAGAGTAATGAAAGCATTAAACCAAGTAAAGAGATCTATATTGATAACAATTTTAATATTTGTTATAAATAACAAGTTTAAAGGGTATCAGGTATAGGAAATTTCCCTTTGATTTTTTGTACTTATTGGTAAATGACCCTATAAAAAAATGGCATAGTTGGTTTCGGATAGGCAAGATCCGGATTTGTACGGTAAGGTTCGAGTTCTACGGATTTGGTGGACCGTGTGGGACCGTATGCCGTGCCAATGGGATCGTAAGTGGTTCGGGGTTTGCGGCAGTTTATTAGTCGAATCAGCATGAGATTTGGCACGGGTAATAACACGAGCCTAGTACGTAAATTCACGAACCTAACATAATAACTAGTAGCTTGTCATACGTGTTATCACGTATCATTCGAAACGTACCACGTACAACTTCGTATAACGCACCTACTTGCGCCACAGAAAACGTACCATTACACCCGGACCACCTTTCTTATAGGGTGATATGACATACCTTGATTTTATATTTTTAATTTTCTTATAGAAAAATTTTAGGTTATTTTGACATTCCTTTTCGTGTAACATGTCTAACATCTTGTCCATTGGCATTCCATTCGGAGCACTTATGACGTTATTTCGTGCTTTTAATAACCGTATACCTAGAATGTAGATTTGTTCAAGTTTACGTTCAAAATGCTGCTGGGCGTTGGAATTCATATGTTGATCGGAATATATTTTAAACCTATGTCGCATCGATTCGGGAGAGTTATCAACAGAAAAATGCGTAAACTAAAGGGAAGGGTTATGACTATTAAGAAATGTGCGAAACAAGTTTGGTAAATAAAGGGTAATTTAATCGAGTGATAGTACAATAATTAGATGAGAGTTTGATTTATAAAAGCTGACTTCAATTTTTGAACCAACTGCTATCTTATTATTTTATGTAGAGTTGAAATCAGTTTTATTTTTCATGTATTTAAACTTGTTTCAGTTAGTTTTGAATACAGTACCGAACAGTAAAAAAAAATCCAATATTTACAATATTTATATATAAAATATTAAAAGTGTTATAACTTTTCAAAATTAAAAATCAAGTAAAAATCTATTATGGCAGAGTAATAGTTTGAATTATACATGTTGATAAAATTATTTTTGGGTCTAAAACCTGAAATTAAAATTTGAAGACAATATTATTTTTGAGTCTATTTAATTTTACATTATTTATACGGTTTAAAGTACTTTTTACAAAATCAAACTACGAAAAATAAACAAAAAAGAAGTATATAAAAAGTTTTATTAGGGGTTGTAGGACTCTATCATTAAAATAATTAAAACTAGGAAATCAGAATCTGATATAAGTCCGAAGCGAAAAATCTAAAAACTAATTTAATAACCAATAAATATTTACAATAGCATTTATTTTTTTTAAAAAAAACTCTTTTATAATCCTATCATTATTTAATAAAACGAAAAATTTAAGAGTGGTAAGACTTTATCATTATAGGGGAACGTTAAAGCCAGGTGCGTTAGAATTACTTTTTTGATGCAGTTAGGGTTACGTTTTTAATGCAGTAATGGTTAGCGGTTTATGTAAATATCAAGAAGATTTTTTATATATACAGCATGTAGATTATTTCCAAGTTTATACCAAACTCACCTGGCCCCCTATTATAGTAATCGAAATCAATCGACTTAAAAACAGAACGATTTCTGTTAAGTGTTGGTACACTGACTGTAGATCATCACGGGAACCATCAATTCTCGAATTTTATTGGTAGTTTCCGACTAACATTGCATGATCGTGCGTGCATTTGATTTTACTCATACAGTTGAGTTCTCGCTACGCTTCGGACAATTATTTTTGGTTTTAGAGAAGTTAACATAATAGTGACTTCTTAAAGATAAATAGAATTAGGTTGTTACTATGCTAACTTCTCTAAAACAAAATGTAATTTTGATTATTTTTAATAGTGGAGCTACAAACTTTTTATATACTTCTTCCTTGTTTATTCTTCATAATTTAATTTTTTTAAAAATACTTTAGACTATATAAATAATGTTAAATTAAATAGACTTAAACAGCCAATCATATAAGTCTTTTATGGCGTTGTAAAAAGAAAATTGTTGTTGATTACTGTGAAACTCTCAGACTTATGAAAATCAC